TAAAATTAAAGCAAGCCAAAAAATAAAAGGCGAAAAACACCAACATCTTCCAGAACCGAAAACCTTCATCATCCACAATATCACACGTCATTGGTTCTCGTGAATTTCTTCCTTGTCTTCCACGCCATTCTTTGAAGATTCTGCATCTTGTTCTCCGCCACAACTTTTTCTCCAGCATGGTTGTAATTGTCAAAGAACTTTCTGTTCCTTTCCCTCAATATATAGTATACCGTTGCCGATATACCAAGTTTTTGAACCGTAGACCAAGATTTCCACCTTTGTGATAAACCCCTGTTAAGAATATCCTCCCATTTGTTCAGACAATTCTTTAACCCAACTTCCTTTTTAATAACCTCCCAAATACTACTCGAGTAGTTGCATTCAAAAAATAAGTGATTGTGCGTTTCAATCACTAATTTACAGAAAACACATTTCAAATCCGGAGGTTCATGTTTCCACTGACTAATGCGATCTCGAGTTGGTAATTTATTCTGACAAGCCATCCACATGCATAGAGCATGTTTAGGTATGTATGCTTTATTCTACACCACCTTGTACCAATGCACAATCGGCCCCACTTTCTGTAAAGTTTGCCATGCCACTTTTACCTCAAAAAAATTCGAGAATGTTTAGCATCAAACCATCTGACTGTATCCTCAATTGGACTAGGATGTGGTATCATAATACTTTGCAGCTGGGGATATTGTAGTATCCATTCCACCGACCAATTAGTGCCAAACCGTTGCATTAGATCATATACCGTAGAGTTATTTTGAAAGCCATGACCATTTATGAATCTGTAAGACATCAATTGGATGAGGGGACCAAACTCACTCCACGTGTCTTCCCAAGCGTGTGTAGATAAACCATTTCCCACATTGTAGATAAAAGACCTTCTGCAATGAGGTCTTAACTCTAAAAGGTTCCGGAGAAGCCACGACCATTCATTCCTCTCCTTGATTATCCAAACACCCATAAGAATTTCGGAGCCGACGACAAACCCCTTCCATCTCTTGCATTTTCCGAAGCACTCTCTTCATATATGAACCTCTCTGAGGCTTCTTCCACACCTCCTCCACGGACTTAAGGAAATCCACATGAGAGGTCACAAAGTTATAAAATTTGAAACCACGTTGATGAAGACGCCTACCAACTTTGAAAGAAAGAATTCCCGGAGAATGATCTGAGATCCCCCTAGGTTCAAAGAAAACCGAGGCATCCCCAAATCTAGCAATGAAAGCAGAATTTCCCAAAATACGATCTAATTTACGCATTACACCGTCACCCCCAGTAGGTTTATGTGTCCATGTAAATTGGCACCCCTGATACGTGATATCAAAAAGTTCAACCTCTTCCAGACAAAGATGAAACTCCTCCATATCTGAGTTATGTCTAGAAGAACCTCCCAAACCATCATGAGGAAAAAGCATTGAGTTGAAATCACCCATCGCAACCCATGCTTTCCTTTGAACAAAAGCATTGAATTTACCAATATCCCTCCAAAGGTCCCGCCTTTCCGCTCCCGTATTACACCCATAAACAAAGGTAATAAAAATAGGCTCAAGGAGACCAATAATCCTAATTTCACCATTCACATATTGATAGTGCTGCTCAATCATTATCAAGGACAAAACAGACGGATCCCAAGCGATAATAAGACGAGTGCCTTGATCACACATTAACCCATTTGTGATCCAACTCCAATTACCAAACACTCTACTACACACATCCCCAAGTGATTGTAAACAACTTTGGACTCAATGATGCAACATAAAGAAAGACGCTTTGCATGAATAAGATCACGTACCTCTTTTTGCTTTACTTATAATGGTATAAATGGTTCATAATTACTCTAATCAGTCCTTTTTTTTTTAACGAAAACCAGGCAAATTTATAATCATTAAAAAAGAATTACATCAAAGAAAAAACGTGTGACCTTTTTTTTTTTTGAACGGAAACCAGGTAAATTTATAAAACAATAAAAAAGGGGATTACAGCAAAGACAAAACCAAACGACCACCACCTRACCAAGAAGAAAAACCAAAAGACCTAACCACCAAAGTATACCAAGCAACCAAAAGCCAAAAGGAACAGAGCCCAACAGAACCAACCAAACAACAAAAAATAAAGAAAAGGAGCTTAGCAAACATAGAAGCTCCACAAAACCACCCAAAAACCATCATAGCAAAGCACCAGGCGCCCGACTTTGATCCACCCAAGCCGCACGCATAGAAATCGTATTATTGATAATTGTGATGAGTTGCATAGTTGTACGGCTAACTTCAGAAAAAAAGTCTTCTATTTCTTTCTTGCCAAATATAATAAACAGAAGCTGCAACCATAAGCCTCTGCTTTAAACGCTTAGGTCGACGAGCACGATCCGAAAGTAAGTCCACAATTTGATCCCAAGACGACGGCATAGTCCTCAAGTCCMCAAGAAGCACCATACTTTCCCAAACCWCCCGAGAAAAAACAYATTGGAAGAATAAATGAGCATGRCTATYWATACAATTACCACATAACGAACACTTCAAATCCGGGGGTTCATCCTTCCAAATTAGGCGGTCTTGAGTAGGGAGACGTCTCTGACAAGCAAGCCATAAACAGAAAGCATGCTTAGGAATATGACCCGAGAACCATATCGCTTTATACCACGGAACAATCGGATGATTCCCATCTAAAGAAACCCATGCAGTACTAACAGAAAACAGAGACCTAGAAGTGCAGTCAGCCCCCCAAAGGACTTCATCACAAACAACATCATTTAAAGATGGGACAATATAGGAACGGAGCGTAGGAATCTAGTTACACCACTCTTCCGGCCATACCCCATCAATACTAATAAGTAATTCTCTAACCGAAGTGCCAGTCGAGAACCCACAAGAATGTATAAACCGATAGGATAAGAAGGCCGAAAGATGTCCACAAGCCAGCCAAAAGTCCTCCCAAGCATTAGTATCCCGACCATTACCAATCTTGGAAAAAAGAAAACGTCGCAAATGAGCTCAAAGGTCCAACAACTTACGGAAAACCCAAGACCAATTGGAGCTCTTCCGAACCAGCCAAAAATGAGAAGAACGAAGAATATGACAATACACCCATTGAACCCACAAAGAATCACGATGTCTGAGAATATCCCAAACATGTTTCGCAAGTAAAGCCCTATTCCATGTGGCAACACGCCTAATACCAAGACCTCCAGTCTTAATGGGCCTACACACCAAATCCCAAGATAACCTGCACCTACCTCGCGGATCCTCCCTTGGAGCCCAAAGGAATTTCTCGAAAATAAGAACACAGACATCCAATGAAGCTGAATAGATTGAAGGACCGAAATAATAAGTTGTCTTCATCCCCCAAAAGAAAGAAACTTAGACTTCCAATTAAAAATGCGACCTTTTACCCTAGCTATCAAAGGACCATAATCAACAATCTTCAACCTCGCTTGAGATAAAGGGACACCCAAGTAACGAACAGGAAACATACCTTGCTTGAACGGGAGACACGCAAGAATGGTCTCCTTAATGTTAGAAGACACATTCCTAAAGAAGACTTCACTCTTTTCAAGGCTAGGTTCTAACCCCGAACGTTTATGAAAAAGACAAAGAGCCTTTTTAAGCACCTCCACCGACTGGACATCGCCCTTAGTAAAAACAAAAAGATCATCCGCAAAGCAAAGATGCGTAATATTCAGATCTTCACAACCCCGATGATATCCATAATCAGAAGCCTCTTGAATACATTGCCGAAGAATCATAGAGAAGCCCTCCATGACAATAGTGAATTATTGGGAATAATGGGAATAATTTGTTAGAATTAATGGGAATAATGTGCTAAATTTGTTAGAATTATTCTAATCAGATATTAATTGGAGTAATTGAGTTAGAATGGGTCTAAAGGCTCCTTAATGGTCCATTTGGGTATGATGGGGTTATTTCTCCTATTAACGTCTCATTTCTCCATAAGGAGTCTAATTGGGTCAAAATGATGCTAAATGAGTCATATTTAGTTTGATCAGACCTTAATGGATATGATGGGGTTATTTCTCTTATTTTAGTCTAATTGCAATATAATGGTACTAAATTGTTCATAATAACTTTAATCAAACGTTAATGGGAGTAATTGATGAAGAATGGGTCTTAATGCCCTTAATGGTCCATTTGGTGTTTTTTTTTTTGAAGGAAAAATATCGGCAAATTTATAAAGCACAGAAAAAGTTTTACAACGACCAAAAACAAAAAGACCGCAACCTACACCAAGAATTCCCAAGGCCAAA